CCCCAAAACCCCAAAACCCCAAAACCCCAAAACCCCTTAAAAGAAATTCGTTGTTGAATATTATAAATCATTAAATCACTTTATGTCTGAGGTGGTCTATTTCAATAATCTAATTGATTCCAAGGGTCTTTTCGAGGGAGGAAGAATCCGTCATGGAGTCTTCCTTATCAGGATCATGCTTGAAACTTTTCACAACACCTTTATACCCTTCCTTGGTCTTCATAGCCTGGGAGAGGGACGTGTTTTGAAGTTCTTGGGCACGCAACTTCTTGATAGCAATCATTAGAAGGATTATTGAGATTGTTTTCACAAAGAAATCTACTATATTGAGCACCATTATGAAAACAGAGGCTTGGTATGATAGGATCCTTTCATTTCTGATCTGTTGTAAGGCAATGAAATAGGCTACCATAAACAGCGTATGCAGAAATAAGAGCGGAGACTGGATGAACAACACAGTTTTGAGGTATTCCTTGCTTCTATATTTCACTCCATAAAATCCAACGATTCCACTGACAAAGCTAAAAATTCCGAGGAAGAGGATGACTATATATACCCAGTTATCATCAGTGAATCCGTACAGTCTTGTTCCAGTGTAATACCCAGTAGCAATACTGACAAGGCCGCTGAGAGAGACAATTCCGAGGAAGAGTTCTCAGAAGTTCATGTAGGTAAACATCGCGATAAACCTCTTCTTAAGGTTTAGGTATTTATTCTCGATTTTCATTCTCTTAGCTCTTTTCTTTCAGTATTCAAAAATATCAATAAGAATACAGAATACCTGGTCTGTTTGGTTGACTTGGCCATTATTTCCAGAGTCTTCACCAAGAAGGCTAGTCTCGAGGTACTCTCACATCATGTTTTTATGGATCCAGTTCTGAGCTCTGATCATGTTAAGGTCTCCATTGGCATGAAAGACCATCTTACTGTCGCCTGAGGCCATGCTTGACTCACTATATCTTTTGACGGAGTCGACTTTGTTAGCAATAACTATCCTTGGTTTCAGTTCTTGGTCTATATGTGATGAGTTAGATTATTATTTGTCAAATTTTGGACACTAAGCAATAGAAGAGATTCTCCAAATGTTAGGCTTTACTATACCTCCAGAGATTTGTCTGATAAAGAATTCTCTCATGCTGGTGAAACTTTCAGGGTCTTCGCATGAGAACATGTAAATAACGGCGTCAAAAGTGGAGAGATAATCAGCACGAATATCTTTGAAGTTAAGCTCCTCAATGTCGATCATATATCTTGATTTGCTATAATCCAGGTCTATTTGGTAAACATTTTCCTTTTTGTCCTGGGTTTGTTCCAAATCGCTTTCATCTTCATCACCTGTCTTGGTGAAGTTCTCGGCTAGAGTGGATTTCCCCACGCTCTTGGCACCGACTAGGGCGATCTTGAATTTGACCTCTGGGAGTTCTGAAAGCATTGACTTAGTGCTCATTTTAATAATATATATTATAAAGAGGGGTTTTGGGGTTTTGGGGTTTTGGGGTTTTGGGG